TAATCTAGTAGATCAAATGATAGATTTGTTGGATAGAGTTGAAAATATAAGAATATAATATATCAATCGTCAAAATCATTTATAAAGAAATGATATACTTTCTAATAAACAAATTATATATCATTAAGGGTAAAATAGACTTTTCTACAAAAACCCAAATGGATCTATTATACCCGGCTATTTTGGAAAAAGCCCCGAATCACATCAAACCGGTTCAACCCATCTACCTATGAGCTCGTTCAAGCTTGAGCCCATCGTGCTCAAGGGCTTGGCCCAACCCATCTACCTATGAGCTCGTTCAAGCTTGAGCCCCTCATGCTCAAGGGCTTGGCCCATGAGCTCATGTTTTTTTAATAGGCAATTTACACAAATATCCTTAAAATTAAGAGCTTTTGAAAAATCATATGAAAATGTTTTTGTAAGTAAAAAAATTGTACAATATTAAAAAGTGACACAACACCACTTTTTTTTTATAAAAATTGTCATTTTTTAATTAAAAAAGTTACACAATGTCACTTTTAAAAGTATAGTGCCACTTTTTTTTAATTTAAAAATGACATACATTGCTACTTTTATTAAAAATTAATATTTGTCAATAAAAAAAGTAATAGAAATCAAGAAGGTGACTGAAAAAAGTGCAGCACTACAAAAAAATGATAAATACTAAAAAAAGTGACAAAAATTCAAAAAAGTGATAGAAATTTTAAAAAAATGACATAAATTAAAAGAAGTTACACAGATCAAAAAAGCGACAAAAATTAAAAAAAAAAAGTGACCCAACGAAGATGCCCCTTCTACAGATGATGACTTGAAGCACCACCAAACCCTCCAGACTGCCTAGTGTTTTATGTAATAAAATATAAAAAGGAAAAAAATTGAAAAATGAATTACGAGAAAAGATACCATAAAATCCAATGTTCACAATCTCTTCTTATCCAAAAGGCTCCACACTGCTATCAAGGATAGCCAATAAAGAAGACAAATCTGAAATTTCACTTTACGCCAAATTACGAACAGACTGAAGTTCCAATTTATTGTTGACAATTAATTGGAACATTTTCTTAAAATGGAAGGTCGTGAAATCTGTGGGAAGAAGCAAAAGAACTTGAGGCAATCTACACCTCTTTCCACTATCAAACAAGTTTGCTGCTCCCAGAACTCATTTTGTGAAATAAATGGAAGAAAAAGATCTCTATGATACAAATTTTCACAGGATTCTGAATTAAGTCAAAATATTTCTAGAGTTCCAACCATTTGGGTTCATACCATTATTAGCTCCACACAATCCTACCCCCACGAGGATGCTGAAGGGAATCTGCTTGGAAACTGGAAAAGGCGAAAAAAAAAAAGACAAAAAAACTAGCGGAATCTATCGAGACGGTGGTGGGAAGGAGTGGAGTAGCGGGTGAGGAGGGTTTCTCTTTGAGAGTTTTTTGGAATAGCAACAATTGATTTGGGTTTCGGGTGGTTTTGTAATTCTACAACGTATTAATTACGCTAATTATATAATTTAATTAGTTAATATGATATTAATCAAATTAGTTAATTTTTTAGAGTAATGTGTCTACTTTTCCCTTTTTTATTTTTATTTTTGCTTCACATTTTTTACGAGCTCACGATGAACTTTGGGCTCGTGGGCCGTCCCCGGCTCGACTCGAACTCGTGCTCCTCCCAAAACGAGCTCGAACAGTACGTGAATCGAGCTTTTACGAGCCAAGCTGACGCGCTACTCGACCCTTTTGCCACCCATATCTTCATTTTTAAAGGTTGTTAGTGGAAGTTCTTATGTAAAATAACTATATTTGGTTTGATCCATTAATGGGGTATGCATGCAACTCATATATTTTTTGGGTACTACCCTTTCCGATAATAAAATATATTTTGAACATGCATTTGACTTATGTCTTTTATTATGATTTCAAGATATAACGTATAAAGACATAAGACTTAGAGAATGTGGCTTCATTTTGATCTGAAGCATTATGAGGATCGATATGAATTAGCACAATTTTTTTTATCACATTGGTGCTAAATTCATACTACATACTACCATTTTGGTTGGAGGATGGGTATCCATGTCGATAAGGATGCTAGCATTTGTAGATGTGGAGTGGTCTTACATCGTTTAAATGGTGTAACGACTTCCATGTTCAATGTTGATATTCTTGTTGGACCTAATCGATCTTCTAAGGTGTTATTGTAGGAGGTATATATGTGTGGCCACCTATGTAGATTAACCCGAGAATCAAAAATTTTGTTTTATTATTTAATAGCAATTAAATGTTCGTTCAAATATGAGAATGTTCGAATAATTTCAAAAAATGTGAGCTTCCCATTTAATTGCATATTTTATGTTTTATGAAACGGGTTAGATGGATAGCTCATAATGATACTATTATCAAACCCAATATGTTGAGTGATCACTTGGATTTTTTTTACACCATAGTTATATATGATTATATCCTATATAATATTGTAATTTAAGTACGTAGGCCAGAAATATTTAAACCCTAATTAGCGTTGGAGTCGTTAATGGGATGACTCAATAAGTTTTTATATAAAAGGTAAGGTCCCCTCTCCTCTTCCTAAGTTTTTTATTAGTTTACCCTATTGATGGCTAATACTTTTGTGATGAGTAAGGAGATGGAAATTTAGCTGTTATTATTTACATCCGAGATATCTTTCAAGTATATCTCGTCGAACTATGAATTTAAAGATGTGATTCTTGTTTCTTGGTATGATAATTATTAAACACAACATAGACACTAGCTCGGCTCGACAAATGGTAGTCGGTAGATATATTCGGTTTACACCCAGCTCTATTTGGACGGAGGTGTAAACTCCTGATCCCTTTTTTGTTCGCACGATTCGATCTGAGTTATTTTTGAAACACCATTGACAGATTTTGACCAGCCAGTAAATAGTATTTGGTGCCATGTCAATTCCATGGAACTGATCTACACATATATGATAAGAATATTTTTGATTTCCTAATGAGATTATTAAACACAAATTGAGACAGACCACCTCAATTTCAATTATAGTAAAATAGATGGGTATATGTAAACTCAGCATAATCCTAAAGGGATTACAAAAAATGCGATAATTATGAAGCATCAGAATTAAGAAGTGTACTTCTCTGGTATGAAAATTTTCAATTGCTTTATCAAATGACTACCCGCAGAAGAAATCCAAGTAGCACACAAGTAATCAGTAAGGGACAAAGGAAAATAAAAAAAAAAATGAAAAATTACAGCAATTATGAGAAAGTATACATCCTTGACATCTTGTTATCAAGAGAATGCATAGATTGTCATACATTTCTTTCTGCTACAAATGTGCATAAAATATTTGATTCCAGGTATCGGGAACTCCTGGTAAACACCAATGTATGCAATCTGCATAATGTAATGGATCAGCCTTTTCTTCATCAGTCAATAATTTGCCTCCCATCTCAGTATAAATTGATGAGTGAGCATCAATTCTGTATTCTGATAGTTGAGTTATGTTGATGAATGTAACAGGGACTTTCATCCTTTCGACTACGCCAGCCACAGTGCTCATCATCCCCTTGTCTGAACCAGATCCCCAGTATCGTTTCTTGCTTATGGGTTTTGTTTCATTGAAGCATCTAGTCCCGTTCACGTTCCCCCAATCCGCGCTCCTGAAGAGAAAATGGATGCAAGAAATGGAATCAGTCTTGAAATGCTAAAAGGTGGAGAGTTTATTGCATGGGAATTTAGAGAAACCTTTGATGTGTAGGCGACATGGTAGTAAAGAACACACGTGTTTTGTTTGGATTAATGTTTGAATCGACCCAATTTGCCCATGTCTTTAGGCCTATTCTGTAAGAAACAATCGCATCTAATTCTTCGTAACCATCTTCTCCATTGGCAAACGATCCCCATCTGTGCATCATTAGACGCAATTTGAATTAAGATTCATATGTTTGCTTTATTTAGAAACTAGAAGTCAGAATTATGAGCATATTCCCGACGAGAACTTACAGTGATTTGATCTTAAGACCACTCATCCACCAAACATAAGAATTAAAGACAACAATATCAACTCCTGTCCAATATTTGGCATGCTTGGCAACTGAATCAACTTTCAGAATTCTCTTCTTTGGATCTGCTATTATATGAACATCTGAGTTGGATTCTACTAGAAATGGAGCCCAGTAGAACTCAATTGTGGCATTGTATTCCTAAAAAGAATGTAAAACTTTTTGAGATTAGAAATTCACGAGGAATTCAAAGAGTTTCTACAAAACAAAACTCAAAAATCTCAGCTTATAAGTCAATAATTAGGATTATGTGTTAGAAAAATGATGCTTTTGAGTGCACTTTAGCTTTGAAGACTGAATGGATATGGCCTTGTTTCATGGATTTCTGGCGTTGTGGTATTGCAGATTCAACAAGGCAAACAAAGGATTGCCATTGTCCTCTTTGAAGTGAATCCCCTACAAACATTAGCCTCTTTCCTTGAAGTTTTCTCAGGGCAATTTGAGGATCAAACCTGAACATGAAGTGATTGCAGAAAATTACATATCAGTTACAATACAAGAAATTTCAGTTCTGAAGACTAAGCACGTCATTATCCCCCCTTCAGCTGGGCAGTGTTGACATGGCTATAGGGGCTCGTGATCGGCCTGAGCCATGTCAGGCAGTCGAACATATCTCTATTGAAAACTGAAAAGGGTCATTTTTTGTAGGCCATGCTAGGGGAAAAGGCAGCCTAGGTATGCAAAATTCGTAAAGTTAACCCAACTTGAACATGAAGTAACTTACCTAGGCAATATACAATCATCAGGCTGCCATTGCCAATAGCGGTAGTCAGAATCAAGACGTCCATTCTTAACACAGGAAAACTGGCTATCTACATACGGGCACGTCCTATCTGAGTACAGAGGCTTAACTGATCGATTAAACACCCATTTTCCATGAGCCAAACTGCATTCTTCTGGATCAAACTCAAACCTATCATCATCTGCATAACTAATTGGCTTGATGTACTCATCACCTGTTAAATCATCAGAAAACAATATCATCAAATGGCCTGCCATTTTCCGAAACGGGAAAAACATTGTGGAGCTGCCACGTCTAAAAGTTAAAGCCATTAAACACTTACGCGACTTTTTCAACTTTGCAGCATGTAGTTTAGCGCTGCAGGACGTAAATCTGAAAATGGAACCGGAAGAAAGAAAGCTGATCCTTTCAGTGTACAAAAGAACTAAGAACGCCAAGGCACAAACAAAGATGGTAATGATCGACAATGGTACTTTTCCCCTCAGATTCTTATGCGTGCCCATTTCGAAAGAGAGACAGCCACACTCTGAAGGGGAAAAGTGCTGATTAAAGATGAAGAAAAATGGAGAGGTCTGTAAAGAATAGGCAATGCAAGTGGACAAAAATCAATGATGAGCACAATTGGGAGTTGTTTAGCAGATTATTTAATGTGGGTTTTTGAGTAGTCGTGAAGCTAAAGCCATATTTAGAATGCAAAAATGATGTTATGTGAATTAGCACATAATGCAGCTGGTTAGTGAGGAAGTTGGAAGGGTAACCTCTCGTGTCTTTTACATATAATAGAAGCTATCAATCATTAGGTGGGAAAGGTTCTGTTGCGACAGTCACTGTTTTTTCCACAACTTGCATATACAGTCATAATATTTAACAAAAATCTTCTAAATGAAAGGATCAACTTATCAACCTAATGTTTACCTTGTGAGGAACAGGGTATATGAGCTAGACTACTCGTTCACCCCCCTCTTAAAATTCTAAGTGACTTAATCTTAATTCAACTCATTTATGATTCAATTATTTTTTGTGTGTGTGTCGAAGAGAATTATGTTAAGAATACCTATCGAATCGAAGAAGGCTACGTCTTCTATTTGCGTCGCATCACTTTTTTTCCTCGATTATGAGCATAACCAATAAAGGTTAAAAGATATTTTATTAATTGTTCATATAATTGGCAACTATGACCTGAATATTTTGTCTTTGATTGGAGAATAAAATTGGAGACTTCATTCCTCAGTATCAGACTAGCTGGTGTTTAATTTGTTCACAATTAGTAATTTGTCTCTACTGCAAGCTTTAACTCTCCAACTAGAGGCACTAATGCACTAAGAAAAACGAGAAACTTGATATGATGAATAATGCTATATGTTGTTGGCGACGACAATAGTCATCATCAGGGACGAACCGAGACCATTTTTCTTGTAGGGTCAAAAATGAGAATTCAAACATGTTTAGGTAAAAAAAAAATTAACATATATAGATGATTATTGCAGTCACTGACTATATAAATAACAATTACTCTAATATAAATATTGTTGAATTAACTATATATTTTTTTTCTGGATTGAGCATAGTTGCCTCTAATATGAAGAAGTAATTTTGAATTTTTAGAGGACAGTAGACAATTGACTTGCTAGATCTTAGGTCTAGCTCTTCTAATTAATAATTGGACTAATCAACTTAGTTATTAAAGGCATAAGCATTAATGATTTTAAATTCTACAATGTCTAGAGATATCGTCAACCTTAGGTAATCCATCTTCTTCTTAAATCGCATGCTATGATATGATCATTATGGTTTGAAATCATAATGTATTTTTATATTAATTTTACACCACTACTTGCTTCAACCTATGATCTTTGGCATAGTAGGCCATATTTGATAGGGACTAAAATTAATTTTTTAGTAAATTTTGATAAAATTTGATGAAATCAGAAATATTTAGTTGAAAAGTTGTGGGACCCATAAATATATGTGGTTAATATTAATTGTTGATTTTGACTTAGATTAAAATCTGAATGTTAATCCGTACCAAACATGGGCCAAAACATCTCATCAAAGAGTTAAAAATACAAGATAAGGACAAATTTATTTAAAGTCTTATTTTCCAAATCCAAAATGTCTACAAATTCAGTCAAGACATGTTGTGTGTGGTAATAGTCTTGCATTTGTAGCATAATTTGCATAGTTGAAGGGGAAAAAAATTATGGACATGTATGAAAGCAAGTAACAACCTCTCCAATAGACTCTAAATACGATATACTCTTCATTTTGCATTTTTAAGAAACATTTACCCCCTCTTTGTGCCCTATTAATCAAAATTCATTTTCTTTCTCCCTCGGTTTTAATCACATTCTTCCAATAAAATAGTTATGCATGTAAACTCAAAATATTTCCTACTTTTTAAGTGTACATTCTCCAAAAAAAAATCACTTTTTACACGGTCCTTGCTTAGTTTTGCTAAAAATAATATCAATTATGATTTTGAATTAGATTTTTTCAATTTTCTTAACTAGATCGAACAAAGCTAAAATTTCTTAAAAAAGGGCTCAAACATAGGCTTCTTGATTTCTCCTCAACTTTTATTTAATATAATTTTTTACGTGAATGATCAATCAATTCAAATATATTTTGAGTAATTTAAGAAGCAGACTTTTGAAATATGTAAATATTACACAATCATTATAAAGTAAGAATATATAATACGTTAGACTCTCCGAATTTAGAGAACTAGACTCACTCTCTATTTTAAAAAGTTAAAATATGGAATATTTTAAAGTTTATCTTTAAGTAGTGACTCTCTAAAATAGACAACGTATTGTATTTAGTGCCCTTCGAAAATGCCCTAATACTTAAAATGAGTACCAAAAATGCTATTTTCAAAGCATCTCAAGAGATCATAATTTATAAAAAGCATTTAATGTATGGCAAAAAGTATCTTTAAATCTAAAGAGTAAAATTCTTATGCACTTCAAGGATGACGATCTCTATTTTGACTCTTCATTTTGCCTTTTTAACAAATATTTATTGAATTCTTCTCATCTCCAAGAGTCTTTATAGATATAAAATAATCTCTATTTTAAAAAATTAATACTTAAAACTAAGATCTAAACGACTCTATTGAATAAAAGTTGAGTGGAAATCAATAAATGGTTCCCAAAAAGACAAAATGAAAAGCCAAAATAAAAAGTATTGTTCAAGCGTATAAAAAGATTTCATCTCGAAATTTAAAGATGGTTTTTATTGTGCTTAAAATGCTCTAATAAATAGTGTCCCTTGGGATACTCATCATGCTAAAGATGACAAGAAATCAACAAATATTTCTTGAAAAAGCTAAATGAAAAGCTAAAATAAAGAATATTGTTAAAGAGTATTAAAAAATTTACTCTAAATTAAAAAAAAAAAAAACTCTTTATAAATAGAGAGTCTCTTAAAAATACTCTAATATGCCAAATAATAACTATAATTTGAAAAACATACACAACAAAATTTCGTTTTAGTCTTCTCAACATATCGAAGATGCCCTAAGAAGATGGAAGATAGACATCACAATTTTTAAAAACAAATATTGTAGAAAGAGTAAAGAAGAAGAAAGATCCTTTCATATTCTCTATACTTCAATCTTAACATAATGTTGGAGTAAGAATAGTTATAGTATACGCAAGAAGAAAAGAAGCCCCACATATACTTGATAGAATTGCTGTCTAATCCCATCATAATGTGTGCCTAATGGGGCTTAACAACGTTGTATTATCATCGTAAGACCTTAATTATAAATCATTTGTGATTTGATTGACAAGAATTAGGGATCATCCTTGAACATTGAATCAAAACGCTGAATAGACTTCTCAACATTTAATAAAGTGAAGTTTACTGTTGAATAGAAAGAAGCTGAGAAGTCATTTATCTACTAGTTGCAGTGGGATCCAAAAGGTAAATTCTTTACATCATGAAGAGCATGATTTGGTTGTTGCCAGAAATCAGCTGAAATAGTTGAGTGGAAAGCAATTTTGGAAATTTTGGTGTTAAACAATGGCATAATAATAATAATGTACTTTAAAGGTGGAACATCCCTTTGAAAGAATTTTGTGGCATTCAAAATGTCTATGGCATGGTTAGTGTTCTTCTTACTAGGCCATTTATTCCAGTGATGTTGAATCATGATGAGTGTTTTAGGAAAGTTGAACATTTTCTTATGTCGAAAGTCTTCAAAAGTTAAAAGGTAATTTCTCTTGTGACATTTGGCATGTGACGATTCTTATATTTATTTTAAACAAATAACTGAAACTGTGAAAAGAAGATATTTGAAATATGAAAGTAACATTGACTTGTTACTTGGGGGGTGTTAACTCTACAAAACTAGAGTTCTTCTATATATATGTTAAGCCTCGTTTGGTCCTCATTATTCGAAATTTTAATGGTTGAAATAATTTTTTTTTTAATGTGTGATTAAAAAAAATTATTAAAAAAACATTGGGATTACGCGTAATATTATTTTATTGAATAATGTGTATTTGATAAGAAGAGAGAAAAAATGAATTATAATTTTATTGATGGCCAAACAGGGACTAAGCCGCCTTTTTCCCAAATAGTAACGTGTTGCGATGGTAAACATGGTCTTTGTTCTGAATATTTTTATTTTATCGCCTCCCAAAAATTCTCATTTTATTTTATGGGGTAGTAACTTATGCTGTGTTGGGAAGAGATTTGGTTGAAGTCGCCTATTTTCAACAATTTATTGTGATCCATTTGGAATAGTATATTTAAGAAAAGATGTTGAATAATATAATGGGCTCCATTAAATCAAAAATACATTTTTTTCAAAACTTATTTTTAACAATAATTACTCGATAAAATAATATTATACGTAA